TTTGCCATGTAAATGTAACTTGGTGACAAGAGCAAAAGTCAAAAGTAAAAAAAGGTTGGCCTAGTGCCAGTTAAGCTCACACAATGATCAACATAACAATCATCAAAATCTGTCCTATATATACCTTTGGATTTTGAAACTTTTCAGATCATCATCAAGTTAATCTTTGAGTTTCTTATTTCAGCAAATTCAATGGAACTGAAGAAAGGGCTGATAATTTCGCTTCTTTTCTCGCTGTCGTTTGCAGCATTTTTGTTGCTAAGTTGCAATGCAGCCAATGCCAATGAGAGGAAGGTGATCAATCTGTTAGCCATATTTTTGTTTTGTGCATTAGAAATGTTTTGCATTAATTTTACTACCAAAAAATGCAGGTCTTTAATTTCCCTCATTTTGTTATTCTCATTTTCTTTAACTTGTGTATATATATATATGTTAATGTTAGGTTCGCATTGTGTACATGGGAGATCACCCAAAGGGAGAAGTCTCGGCTGCAACTACCCATCATACCATCCTTAAGGCTATTCTTGGAAGGTTTCTTATTCCACCTCAAATACAATCTTTGAAAATTAATGCAATATTAGACAAATTGGTTTGGAGACCAACAATATGTGTCAAGTCACTAAGAAAAACGTTTAAATTCTATTCAACTGCAGTGATTCTTCAGCCAAGGAATCGCTAATTTATAGCTACAGGAGTTTCAATGGATTTGCAGCTAAATTAACAGATGAAGAGGTTGACAAGTTGTCAGGTACTGATGAGAATATCAAATTAATGACTAACTAAGAAGAAAATATCCATAGAAATTAATGATTAATGTGCATATGGCAGAGATGGAGGGTGAAGTTAAAGTGATTCCAAATCATGAGCTAAAGCTTCATACAACAAGGTCATGGGACTTCATTGGTCTCACCCAAGACACTGTTGGAGCCAATAAGCCTCAAGGAGATGTTATCATTGGCCTTCTTGATACAGGCATTTTTTTACAAACTTTTGATATATCAAAGCTATAAAGTTAACAAATTGACCATTGTTTATTATATACTCTTTTGGTGTTTTAGGAATCTGGCCAGAACATGAAAGCTTCAATGATGTAGGACTTGGTGCTCCACCCTCCAAATGGAAAGGAACATGCCAAGGGGTCAACTTCACCTGCAACAAGTATATATAATTATATTAGCTCTCTTAATTTCCAAAAAAATATATATAAATAGTAGCATTGATTGATTATTTAACTAATTTTAATTAATGAGAAATGAAATTTGGCAACATGTACAGCAAGATCATTGGAGCCCGTTACTACAAAAGTGAGAACTACTTCGAGGGAACTAATTCTCCTAGAGACTATATAGGACATGGCACCCATACTTCCTCGACTGCAGCCGGAAACAGGATAGTTGGAGCAAGCTACTATGGACTAGCTAATGGAACTGCAAGAGGCGGAGTTCCCGGCACAAGGATTGCCATGTACAAGGTTTGCTTCTTCCTTGGTTGCTTTAGTGCTGATATCCTTGCAGCATTTGATGATGCCATCTCCGATGGGGTTGATATGATATCCGTATCCATTGGTGCTGTTTGGCCTATACCTTACGACGAAGACGCTATTGCCATTGGTGCTTTCCATGCCATGAAACATGGCATTTTGACATCAAACTCTGCTGGTAATGATGGACCATGGCCATATTCTGTTTCCAATTATGCCCCTTGGACTTTGACTGTTGCCGCGAGCACCATTGATAGGAAATTTGTTGCCAAAGCAGTACTTGGCAATGGACAAGTTTTAACTGTGAGTACTAGCTAGAATTGCAACTAGTACCTCATTTTCCTCCAATTATTAATAATAATGTTTTTAACTTTATCCTTGAAGGGACTTTCCATTAACAGCTTTGACCTTCATGGAAAATCGTTTCCCTTAATATGGGGAGGAGATGCGGCTAACTACTCAGCAGGCGGCAGCCAAGATTATTCAAAATATTGTTTCACTGGTTACTTGAATTCCTACAAAGTGGAAGGCAAAATTGTGTTCTGTGAAGTTCTTTGGTACGGTAGTGGTGTCCGTGATGCAAACGGCGCGGGTATCATAATGGCTGATGATCAAACAACTGATTTTGCTTTCAATTTCGCATTGCCAGCAACACAGATTAGCACATCAGACGGTGAAAAAGTTTTGGAATACATCCAAACAACAGAGTATATACATACAATCTCATTAATTTATTCAAAATTCCAACCATTAAAATCACATGCTTGATAAGCAAGACATAATATATATTATGTTATTACCATTTCAGGAATCCAACTGCAACTATTCTGCTTGGAGAGACATGGACAGACTATATGGCACCTTATGTTGTATCATTCTCTTCTAGGGGACCCAATCCGATTAGTCCTGACATTCTCAAGGTAATTATGCGTTTACATCTTATTATATATTTTTCATTTTTGTTTCAGAACAAGTCTTCAACTCTTGGATATTTATTTATGCATGTGCAGCCTGATCTCACTGCCCCTGGTGTGGACATCCTCGCTGCTTGGTCTCCGGTTGCATCAGCTTCCGTTGACCCGGAAGACTTCAGGAGTGTAGACTATAACATAGTCTCTGGTACATCCATGTCTTGCCCTCATGCTAGTGGTGCTGCTGCCTATGTTAAGGCAGCCCACCCGGATTGGTCCCCTGCTGCCATCAAATCTGCCCTAATGACCACAGGTAAAAAAAAACTAAAGGCAAACCAAAACTCTATTGTTTCTCGTAGATTCTCTTTTTTTTTAGTAAATTATGCTAGTAACATTTTTACCCACGTTTATCATTTGCAGCAACGGTTTTAGACCCAAAGAAACATGCAGATCTTGAATTTGCTTACGGTTCTGGTCAAATAAACCCAGCACAAGCAATAAAGCCCGGGCTTGTCTATGATGCAAATGAGACAGACTACATTAACTTCCTCTGCAAGCAAGGTTACAATACCACAACCCTTAGACTCATCACAGGTGACAATAACAGTGTATGTGGTAGCACCTCACCTGGACCGGCTTGGGATCTCAACTATCCTTCATTCTCCTTAGCTGTGGTTGATGGCCAACCGATTTACGGTCTGTTTACAAGGACAGTTACCAATGTTGGGTCACCAAATGCAACATACAATGTCCTGGTTTCCTCCCAACCAGGTTTCACCATTTCTGTTGAGCCAACAACTCTGTCATTCGCGAATGTCGGAGACAAGAAATCTTTCACCGTGAAGGTCACTGGTCCAAAGATTGCACAACAGCCAATCACATCTGGTGCCATAATATGGACAGATTCAGACCATAAATATGTGGTGAGGAGTCCAGTGGTGGTCTACAATGTTCTTCCTACTCCTTATATTGATTACTCCATTCCTCAAAAGAAACAAACTAATTTCCAGCGTTCTTCCGTGTATCCCAACAAGAATGGAATCCTTGGACGCGATTAAGAAAGGGTTCAAGATTTGATTTGACAGGTTTTCTGCGCATTGGTGATAAAAGGGCATGCCATCAATTTGGTTTTAGCCCCCTTAATAAAGTTTGGAATAAAAGAACAAGGATTCACAGTTGTCCCTACCGAATTAACAATATAAATGTTTCGTTTCTCACAAACAAATTGTGGATTTTTATTGTGAACATAACCTGTAATTGCTGGAACAATACTGGTACTGGAAGTAAGAACTTCAATAAAATTTATGTTTGGCACATTTCATTGTTCTCTGTTTGATATGAGAGGATCTTTAGTAGAATCCAATTTACTCCGCCTTGTTATGCAAAATTTCTTCTTATTCTGCACAAGTAATGGCATTAATGTTATTGATCCTCCTGCTTATTTTATCTTCCCATGTGCTATGTTAATATGTTATTATCTCCCCGTGTGCTATATACAATGGATGCAGTCACTTGTGTGGATTTCCAAATTTAACGTTTAAAGTTAAAATTGATGAACTTGCATGACCACTTTGGGTATAAAGCCCTGCTTTGAAGAGGATGAGAACGCAAGACAAGAGTTTATTAGAATTCAACATTTTTAGACTAATTTTATTACATTACATAATTAATAAATAACGACATATATATAAACTTAAGATTAACTATTTCTTTAGTGAAGTTCTCCCCCTAACTTAAGGCTCCTCTTCCATGCATTTTGCCCTTGTACGGCATTGGACTTCTTGTTGTCTGCAAGACAAAATATAGGATTCTAATTAGACACACATATGGAGTAACATATATTACAACATTTTAAAGACAACAACCAAGTTAATTTTGCTTTTGTCAACTTTTAAAAAAAAAAAAAAAAAAAAAAAAAGCTTTGTTCAAAAGTAAGCCTTTGAGAACTTGCCTGTTGCTTATTCCATTCTGAAACCAGAGAAGCCTTGATTCAGATTATACCATGAAGAGCGATCTTTGTTTGGGAACTTGTGTGATTCCTTCAATACAGAACTTTTTGCACCCAAAAATTTCTGAAACCAAGGGATTTCCCAACCCAACAATGAAATACTTGATCAGGGCTTGGAGGTGTTTCATGATTTCCCTCATCTTTCTAATTGTCTCTCTTGCTTCTCAAAATAATTAAATCCTTGCTGCCAATTTGCTATGGAAAGGACTGAATATATAGGCTTGGAGGCAATGACCAGATGCTCTGTTTGAAAACAGAAACGTATATATATATACTATGTGCTAATTCCAAATGCGACCTAACTTTCTAACTTGAGAACCAACAAAATTACCCCAAATGTTAAAATAGATAATGATAGCAACAGTTTCTAAGAGAAGAAAGAGGTGAGAAGTAGAAGAAAGAGAAGGGAAGCAGAGGAATATTCAGGGGAGAAATAGAAATTAGATGAGAAAAAATTGATTTAACTTCTGATGCCTTTCTCCTTTCATTCAGTGTATTTATATTACAAAAGGAATATTGTTGCTTGGAATCACGTGTCTATCGACATAAGGGACCCATTTACAGAATTGTTTCTTCTTCCTCTAACAAACTCGTCATTATCCTAAGAAAGACGTTGCCTGATGAAGTCAACGTGCCATGGAGGCGCATTTCTCGCACGATTTCCTCTTCTCATGGGTGCCTCTGAGTTGTCTTGGCTGCTGGGCTCATTTGGGCTAGGAGCAAGGCTCGTATCAGTACTTTCCCGGTCAGACACAACCTTGTCCTCAAGGTGGAAGGCTGGATAGTTAGTTTGGACATCATCAAGCCATTCCCAAGTGGCTTCTGCTTCAGGCAGGTTCTTCCATTTAACCAATATCTGGGGCAAGTTTTGATCTTGATATTTCACTTCTCTGGTTTTAAGAACCACCTCAGGCTCCAATACAGGTTGATCTTCAATGGCTAAAGCTGGTAATGGTGTTGGGTTAATATCCAGATTCCCTCTATAAGCTTTGAGGAGAGAAACATGAAACACTGGGTGGATGCGGGAATCAGCAGGCAGCTTCAGTTCATAGGCCACAGTACCCACCCTTTTAATTATTTGGAATGGCCCAAAATATTTCTTTGCTAACTTCTGAGTTGTGCGCTTCACTACTGACTGTTGCCGATAAGGTTGCAGTTTAACCCAAACCCATTCTCCTTCCTCAAAGTGTTTTTCCTTGCGGTGTCGGTCAGCCTGCATTTTCATTCTATTCTGTGCACGAGCCAAGTTAACCTTGAGTCGAGCTAGCAAAGTCTGTCTCTCCACCAGACAATCATCTAACTGAGCAATCTTGGAAGGACCTGGTAGATAAGATGCTACAGTGGGGGGTGCATAACCGTACACTGCTTCAAAAGGGGTCATATTGATGGCCGAATGCAATGCCGTATTATAGGACCACTCAGCCCAATGAAATATTTTACTCCATGATCTCGGATTATCACCGGCAAAGCATCGCAAATATGTTTCTAAACAGCGGTTGAGGACTTCAGATTGGCCATCCGACTGTGGGTGGTAGGCACTGCTGTGGTTGAGTTTGGTGCCTTGAAGTCGAAACAACTCTTTCCAAAAAGAGCTAATAAAGATGGGATCTCTGTCACTTACAATAGACCTTGGAAGTCCATGTAATTTCCCAATTTCTTGCGAGAAGAGAGCTGCCAATTGGGGTGCCGTTGTGTGAGCTGGAATGGCTAGGAAGTGAGCATATTTCGACAATCTATCAACAATGACCCAAATTGTTGTTTTCCCATTGGAGAAAGGCAAATGTGTTATGAAGTCCATGGCAATATCTTGCCATATGTGTGTTGGAATGGGAAGTGGTTGTAATAAGCCTGCTTGTTTGGTGGGAAGGCATTTAACTTCTTGACAAGTCCTGCAAGTAGATATAAAATTAGCCATTGTTTTGCGCATATTACTCCAGAAAAAATTCGAGGCCAATCTGCTCAAAGTTTTTGCCACCCCTGCGTGACCCCCTGTCAATGTGCAGTGATATTCAAAGAGAAGTTGTTGCTGCAAGGGGTGATTTTCAGGAATAACAATCCTCCCATGGCGTAATAGCAAGCCATCTTGAACAAGCAGGTCAGGGAATTTATTGGGGTGCTCTTTCACATCGTTAAAGTGTTGTTTCCCATGCGGATCATTCGCATAGTAATCTCGCAGCTGAGTTAAAAAAGGAAACGTAGGCCCTGAAATTGCATTAAGCTCACCTTGTTCAGGAAAGGAGCGAGAGAGAGCATCGGCCACCTTATTTTGGACCCCTAGCTTGTACAAAATAGTATACTGATAACCAAGCAATTTGGCAAGCCACCGTTGTTGTTCTGGTGTCTGGATTGTCTGATTCATCAAGTTTCGCAGACTTTGTTGGTCTGTATAGATCAAGAAAGGTCTCCCAAGAAGGTATTGGCGCCATTTTTTGACAGATTCTGTGATTGCAAACATTTCTCTGGCATAAGCTGAAGCCGTTTGCATTTGAGGGTTGAGTTTTCGGCTGAAATAGGCGATGGGATGCCCATGCTGAGACAATACAGCCCCAATGGCAGTCATTGATGCATCGGTCTCCAAGACAAATGGTTGAGAGAAATCTGGAATTGCTAGAACAGGAGCTGTGACCAATACATGTTTCAGAGATTCGAAGGCTTTTGTAGCCTCAGCTGACCAAATAAAATTATCCTTTTTCAATAAATCAGTTAATGGTGCTGCTAAAGAAGCATAACCTCTCACAAACTTTCTGTAGTATCCTGTTAGGCCGAGGAATACCCTGAGTTTTTTAATAAATGTAGGCACTGGCCAAGCGAGTATAGCATCTATCTTGGAATGGTCGACTGCCACCCCAAGGCCACTGATGATGTGCCCAAGATAGTCCACAGAGCCTTGAGCAAAAGAGCACTTACTGAACTTGGCAAAGTAATGCTGGTCTGCAAGAGTTTGTAATGCCTTCTCAAGATGAACTAAGTGCTCTTCCATGGACTTACTGTATACAAGGATGTCGTCAAAGAAGACCAAGATAAATTTCCTGAGAAATGGCCGAAATAATTCATTCATGGCGGACTGGAAAGTTGATGGTGCATTAGACAGCCCGAAAGGCATAACCAGGAACTCGTAGTGGCCGTCGAAAGTGTGAAAAGCTGTTTTTCCAATGTCCGTTTCAGCCATCCTAATTTGGTGGTAACCAGCCCTCAAATCAATTTTCGAAAATACCGAAGCTCCATGAAGCTCATCTATCAACTCAGGAACTCGTAGTGGCCGTCGAAAGTGTGAAAAGCTGTTTTTCCAATGTCCGTTTCAGCCATCCTAATTTGGTGGTAACCAGCCCTCAAATCAATTTTCGAAAATACCGAAGCTCCATGAAGCTCATCTATCAACTCATCCACGGTGGGGATTTAAAAATGATCCTTCACTGTGACGGCATTTAAGGCACGATAGTCTACGCAGAATCGTCAAGTGCCATCTTTTTTCTTAACCAAAAGGACTGGAGAAGAAAATGGACTTGAACTTGGCCGAATTATGCCTTCTTGTAACATTTCAGTGATCAAACGCTCCATATCTTGTTTCTGAGCATAAGGGTATCTATATGGTTTAACATTGATGGGTGGGGTACCAGGTAAAAGATGTATTTGGTGGTCATGGGGTCGTGCTGGTGGTAGACCTTTAGGGGGTTCGAAAATATGAGAGAAACTGCATAATAGCTCATATAGTTCTGGTGGAGTTTGAGGAAAATGCAGTGGAGAGGTTTCTTGTGCTGCTTCTGCCATAGCAAGCAGATGGGCCGAATCAATGGCATCTGTTTGAGCGAGCCGACGGAATTGGGCTAAGGAAAGGGCCAAGGTTTGAGGCGGCCCACTTCCTGAAAGAGTAACCATCTCACCTTCATGAAGGAAGGTCATTGTGAGCCCTGAGAAATCCATAAGAATAGGACCCAATTGAGATAACCATTGAACTCCCAATACAACTTCAGCACCATGGATGTCAAGAATGTAGAGGTCTAACTTGAACTGGTGTTGTTGCAAATCAATTTGCAGGTCGGTAACACGACCAGAGCACTGTAGACTAGCCCCATTGCCCACCGAAACTGATAGTGGTGGAGAAGGTTGTACCACCAAGTTGAGAAACTTAGCAACTCGAGGTTGAACTAGATTGTGGGTGCTGCCCGAATCGATAAGCACATTGAAATACTGACCAGCTATTTTGGCAATTAATTTCAAGCAGCGATGTTGCGATTGTCCATAGAGAGCATGAAATGACACCTGAAAATCATCAGGACCAACCGCCTCATAATTTTGAGGTGGTGGAGGTAATGGAATGGTGGACAGAGCTGGTGGCACGAGATTGGTTTCCAAAGCCAAGAATTCTCCAGACTCTTCCTCGTCGTCAATTTGCATAAGAAGGAAGGGAGCAGTGCGGCACTTGTGGCCTAGGCTATACTTCTCATCACAATTATAGCAAAGGCCTTTTGCTCTGCGAGCCTGCATCTCAGCTGGGGTTAAGCGTTTGATTTGAGGCCCAGGAAGGTTTGGTAAACGCGGTGGTGCAGGCAAGGCAGGTATTGTTGGTTGACGTAGGGGATAGGTGGGAGTAATATTTGGTTTTGTAAAGCTAGAAAAGGGTTGCACGGAAGGTGCTCGACGAAATGTCTTATGAACGTTGAACTTGGCCTCAATCATCTTGGCTAGAGCAAGAGCATAGGTAAGACTCGGGGGTGATTGTGTTATCACCTCGTGTTGGATTTCTGGGTGAAGGCCTGAGATAAAGCAGTGTAGCAAATGTTCATCTGAAAGCCCTTTCACTTGGTTGGCCAATATCTCGTATTCTTGGTATTCCGTTACCGTTCCCTTCTGTTTGAGTTTAAAGAGGGCTGCGTTTGGGTTCAGATACAAAGAGGGACCAAATCTGCTCAACAACGCTTGGGAAAAGGACTCATAGCTCGTTAACTGCCCATTTTGATACATCCACTGATACCAGCAAAGCGCTTCCCCAGACATGAAGAAGCCTGAGATGGGAAGACGTTGCTCCGGATCCACCGAGTAGAAAGCAAAGTACCGCTCTGCTTGGAAGAGCCAAGCATGTGGGTTGGTTCCATCAAATGGGGTAAGATAAAATTTTGGGGTTTTAATGGTGAAGATATCGGGGGGTTTTGGGAATTTCTGGGTTTTGTTGGTGATTTCTATGGATTGATCTGTATTTGAAGAGTTTCCCATTAGGATGGAACGAGGTAAAAGGGCTGAGCCTGGGGTTTTAAGTTTTGAGATTTTGGTTTGTAGATTTTGGATGGAGGTTTGATTTTCGACAATAGAGTGATCTACTTTTAGGGCTAATTTTTCTTGGGAAAGTCCGAGTTCTTGCATCTGGGCATTGATGGATTCGGTGAGGCTTGCTATGGCGTCAGCCAAAGAAGAATTGTCATGTTTGGGAGGCATATTCTCTCAACGAAAGCACCAATGATAGCAACAGTTTCTAAGAGAAGAAAGAGGTGAGAAGTAGAAGAAAGAGAAGGGAAGCAGAGGAATATTTAGGGGAGAAATAGAAATTAGATGAGAAAAAATTGATTTAACTTCTTATGTCTTTCTCCTTTCATTCAGTGTATTTGTATTACAAAAGGAATATTGTTGCTTGGGATTACGTGTCTATCGACATAAGGGACCCATTTACAGAATTGTTTCTTCTTCCTCTAACAAACTCGTCCTTATCCTAAGAAAGACGTTGCCTGATGAAGTCAACGTGCCATGGAGGCGCATTTCTCGCACGATTTCCTCTTCTCACAGGTGCCTCCGAGTTGTCTTGTCTGCTGGGCTCATTTGGGCTAGGAGCAAGGCTCGTATCAGATAAATACTTGTTGAGATTGAGAAAGTTTTTTTTTTTTGAAGAAATACATTGAGAAATATTATTTGCCTGCCTCAAATGGGGTTAGTATTACCATTTTGTAAATCAAAAAGCCTACCATTTTTGTTGAACGTGAGGGACAAGAAATTGAATTTCATTTAACCTTGAGTAAGGGTTGTTTCTCATGCATGCATTTTTGACAAAATGCAAATGGAACTCATAAAATTTAAAAAGGAAAAAAAAAAAAAACTCTTCCAAAGGGAATTATTACAAGGAGGATAATGAATGATATTTTGTGTTACAAATGAAAGCATTTCTTTTGATGAGAAGTGTCATAAAACATAATTTCTCAGATAAAATTGGTAATAAACACATTACATCTAATAGTAAAAATTAGCGAGAATATTAGTATGTATCTAAAACACATTTATTCTTTTACTAAGTAGTATGTAGTAAAATGTTTAAAACACATAAATCCCATTGCCATGCTTATTAAGTAGTAAAATGTTTGCATGAATACACAAAAGCCTTTTGTGCCAAAAAAATACACAAAAGCCCAAAACCTTTTTAATCCACAAAGCCCATGATTCCAGGCCCAATTTATTGGGTTGAACTCCACTCAACACTTCCCAAATTCCGTCTCCATTTTTCTGCTGACGTAAAATCGCAAGACGCAAGTTGTAAGTATTTCTTCTGGTTGAAAAATCGCCAGTTCGCAACCAAATTAAAAGAGGAGGAAGAAGAAGAGTATACAGAAAAAAGGAGAAAATGGGTGCCGTAGAACCAAATTTGGAAGAATTGTTGGAGGGAAAAAAGCGCGTTAGAAATCCTCTCGTCCCTGTTGGTAAGTTTCCCATTCCTGCACTTAGCTTCTCATTACTTTTTTTATTTCTTTTTCTTTTTTTTTTCCTTCTGTTTTGTTTGTATGAGTTTTGATATGTATGTTTGGGCATTAATATTTTGCTTCATTTTGTGTGCAAATTGTTATACAAAGTTGTAGTCTTGGAGATCCAATTTGAGGGATCAAAATTTTTTCTTTTTACTAAGAAAATGTTTCAGATAAAGGTTTCCCCTTTACGCTTTAATTTACAAGCAGTTGTTATTTTTTTTCAAAATTTCAAAGCCTGATAACGAGTTTGATGTTAACTAATTCAATGCTAGTTAGCAATCCCATTGCCATGCTTTATTCCTTTTAATGAAATATATGGATTGAAGTGTGGAACGTGTAAAGAGTAATTAGGGTTCCAAGTTTCAACACTGGTGTGAGCTAAGTGCTTTGATTTCTTTTGAGGAGAACTAATTCTTCCAAGTTGCAGTTCCATCCAGTTCTTTTTTGGGTCTTCTTGTTATTATGATCCAAATGGTAGCCGTTTTATCCAAAAGCGTGTAAGAGTTAATTTTATGGATGGTGATTGGTAACTCATTGTCATAAATCGGAGGAGTGTATTGATTTAAATCATTGACGACTCTGCTTGATCTTTTGTTTCTAGGTCCTTGGACTAATTTATTGCTCGGCCTAACCTTCATCTCTTGGTTTTTTGTCTAGAACTAGTATTGCATGAAACTATGCTGAACCTGCTAGCTTATTTCAAGCTCCTTTCGATCTAGCGAAATGTCATTAGTTTTCCTGTGAAGATGTTTATGGTTCAGCATGAAGCAATGGCATCCAATGTTTTTGTTGTTGCTTTCTGACTATTTGCTTTTTCTATTGGCACCTGTACTATTCACAATTTTATTTTCTCCATAGCTTACATTCCAAAGTATCATAATCTGTTAGTGGCAAGATTTAATTTATAATTGGTAATCAGAATGATCATTGCTTCACTATGAATTGAATTCAGCTACCAATGCCATTAACAACTTGAATAGTAAGATGCTTGTTTATTTGTTCACTGTCAATCATTAAGATGCTATCACTCTGATCAAAACTAGGGATTAAGAGCTTGCTTGTAGCAGTTGTAATGGCAAATGTCCCCAACTTAATTAATCATCTACCTTGTAGCAAAAAAATTTAATTTTCTCCATCTGAACTTAAATTATTCTGATATTTGGTTGCTTTGTATTTGTCTCCTTGTCACTGGGCTAATGCACTGAGTGTGTTTTTTGGGCTACATACATTACTTTTAAGCACAAATTATCATTCAATCCCATCCATCATCCTAGCCCGAGATTGATAATATAACTTTATGCATTTGCTTCATGTTATAGGTGTTGTCTGGCCATCTGAAGTACAGAATCTAATTCCTTCTTTCTTTTCATTTGCTATGCATATTTCTGCTATGGCATCTTTACTCTTGCTATGGAAATGGTATTATTTTGTTTTATTTATATTTAACATGTGAAATCTACAGGTGCCCTTATGACTGCTGGAGTGCTCACTGCTGGCTTAATTAGTTTTAGACAAGGCAATTCTCGCTTGGGTCAGGTGCTAATGAGAGCTAGGGTGGTAGTTCAGGGGGCTACTGTTGCACTTATGGTTGGAACTGCATACTACTACGGGGAAAATCCCTGGAAAGCCAGATAGAGGCTGTGAGCTACTCAGTTTTTTGTAGTTCTCATAACGACCATGTTACAAAATCAGAGGACCATGGTCATTGCCAGAAACATCTGAGTGTTAACATTTTATTGTTTCACATGATCTAAATTTGCTTATTCAAATCAAAACCATAATTTTTTTTATTTTGATATCAATATTTTATAGCTATATGTTCAATAAAAGCATCATACCAAGAAAATGAAGGATACATATCGAATGTGCTGGTTGCACCATTCATTCTGCTTGATTTAATGTAAGAATATACTAGTACTAAATTCTCTAGCATCATTGCTGGATTACATCTATATATGCTCTATCTTTTGAATGGAGAAAGATCTATTTTCTTGTGTGTGTAAAGAGTAGGGGCAGAAAAAGAATATTGCTGTAGGTAAATGATTTCCAGAAATTGCTTTCATGGAGGTGAGAATCAGTTGTTCAAGACCTTCTCTTGAGAAAAAAGTTAAAGTGTTAGTACTTTTTACTTAAACCTGCATGTGTTATCCTTGACCGCATGGTAATAGAAAATATCATGTGTCATAACATATTTCAGAAACCAAGTTCACAATGTCATTAGCACTTTTAGGCCTAAGTCTTCTAACTGATTTAGATGCTTTTTCAATTTCCAAGTCTATCCTATCCTATCCCATTGTTATTGTCATCTTCAGTGAATATGTTAAGCCAGTACCTGTGTATAATTAGCTATAAGCGCATAAGAAGGCAACAGGCACACAACCAAAACCAATGTAATGGTAAGATGGCAATGGATCTGGATTTCTGTAGATGATGTTTGATAGAGCAAAAGCCAGCTGTCGAGATACGAGGATAGAAAGACAGAAGATGTTGTGTATTGGAAAAACTAGTGGCTAACGTGTGTGTGTGTGTGTGTGTTATAGTACTGTGAAGAAGCATACCACAAACTCTGGGCAACGCCAACATAACAACAATGCCCATTGGCCTCCTTTTTCTCTCCACTACAAAATACAAATCCTTCAGTCTCAGCACATGGCCATTCCTTCCAAACCCATGTGCCCCTGTTACTGTTACTCCTCTTCTTTATATAAATAAATATCAAATTCAGACCCTCAACTTATACTTGTGTGTGTTTAAAATCTATCAATGCCAAGTAGAGATATGCGCTGCTCCAATGGAAGAAAGAAATTGCAGCACGGCAAACGTCAGAGGCAACAAAGATCAGTTGAAATGAAAGCGCAGAAGCTGCAGAGGGTGGTGCCAGGCGACCATGGCTTGCTCCTTGATCACCTTTTGCTTCATACAGCTCACTACATCTTGCATTTAAGGTTCCAAGTTTGCCTCTTGGAAGCTCTTGTCAAATTCCATCACCCATAATTAATACAGTAGGCTTTTTTTTTTTTGCTAGTATCTTTGCTCTTTTTCCTGTTGTTCAAAGTTCAAACTAGTGTATTTTCATGAATGTTAATTATTGTTTAATGTTGATCGTTTCTATATATATACTAGGTAGAATTGCCACATTAAATTAAAGCAATCTAATTAGCTTCAAGACTTGATGTATGTTTAAATCACAAGTTAATGCAACTTTCGTGATTCCTTCATTTCATTCCAAGTTCCAGCCATTTCATACAATATCAGAGTAGATCCGATAAAGGGGATAAGGATCTAAACTCAGATTAAAGGTGGAAATTGATTTTAATTTGTCTTCTGATTTCTGAAAGCCAGTAGATACTATAACCTGCTTGTGAATGTAAGTAATTACAAGTTACATTTTAAATGACTTACTCACCAAAGTTTTAGTTTATCATAGAAAATCAATAATGGAAATTAGAAACGAGTTATCGATATTTTTTAAACAATTGAATATATAAACTTAAGACATTTAGGCTATGTTTGTTAGCGGAGAACATTCTCCATTTTCCATCTCCAAATATATCAAAGAAACTAGATACTGCCACAACATATGTCAATGAAAAACAAGCATATTTTTAGAGAATGAAGATGACAATGGAGTGAAAATCTCAAAATGAAATAAATATGTTCTTCATTTCCCACTCCATTCTCCAAAAATATGCTTATTTTTATTGACAC